GCTGCCGCCGCGCTTGTCCCCGCAATTGGTTGCAGCTCCTGGCAGGAGCCGAGAGGCTCCTCTCCTCCAGCATACCTGTTGCAGGCAGGCACAGGCACCGAGAGGAGCTTTTTGGGGTGCAAAGCGGCATTTTGGGGGGGGGTCTCGGGAGGGCGATGCACATGAGTGGCGTGTTCCTGTCATTGGTGTGCGTGGGTGTCATGGCGTACCCGGTGCAGCACCAACACGGAGGTGAGATGAGATGCGCGGGGGCCTCGTGACGCGGTGCATCCTGCAGCTGCTTCAGCCTGCACCTCGCTGGTGTTGCCTGCACGGGGGTCCTGAGCCCCTGAAATGCTGCCAGCACTGCGGTGCTGCATGCCATTTAAATGTGCCGCGATGCGTTGGCATGATGCGGTTTGGGCTGGTGGGTCCTGTCCCTGCTCCTGCTCGACTCCACTGGCACAGACCTGGGGCTGAGCCCCACTGGGCAGCGGGAAGCTCTTTGGGAAGAGGGGGAAAAGGGGGTCCCAGTTTGTGGATCTGGGTGTTCCCCCCTCCCTGCTTGCTGTGCTACCAGCAGCCAGGAGGGCACCAGCCATTCTGGGGCAGGATGAGAGAAATAAGTGGATTTGCAGGAATTTTGTGCCCTCCTGCAGCGACTGTCAATGTCAGGTTTTCCCTGCCCAGGGCAGAAGCCACACATGTCCCTTCTTGCTCCCTGCTGTCCCCAAACCCATCATGGTAACTGGTGAGACCCCTGTGTGCATCCCAGGGTTGAGCCCTGGAAACCCTGGGGAGGGGAAAGCCCCGAGGAGGGACAGGGCTGGGATGCTGTGTGCCAGCCTGGCTGTGCCCTCCCTGCTGCAGGCGGGTGGTGGCACCTACCATGAGAGGGCACCCCTGCCCTCTGCAAGCCCTGCGTGCACCCTGTGTGCTCCCTGCATGCACCCCATACCTACCCTGCGTGCACCCCGTGTTTTCCCTGCATGCCCTGTGCATGTCCTGTGTGCACCGTGTGCTCTGTGCATACCCTGCATACACCCTGTGCAAGCCCTGTGCATACCCTGTACGTACCCTGCGTGCACCCTGTGCATGCCCTGTACATGCCCTGTACATGCCCTGCGTACACCCTGTGCATGCCCCGTGCCTACCCTGCATGCTCCCCGCATGCCCTGTGCATGCCCTGCGTGCACCCCTTGCATACCTGCATGCTCCCTGCATGTCCTGCACGTGCCCTGTGTGCACCCTCTGCCCTGTGCATACCCTGCGTGCACTCTCCATGCTCTGTGCATGCTTTTGTGCACCCTGTGCCTGCCCAGTGTGCCCAACTCTCTGCAGCAGGGCTGGGGGGGCCTCTGGGAGCCCCCCCATCTCTGCTCCTCTTGCAGCAAGAGCCAGGGCCTGGGGCAGCTGAGCAGGAATCGGGGGTCAGCCCTGGTGCCCTGTTCCCTGAGGAACAGCCCTGCACTGATGTTTCACTGCAGCGTTTCACGCACCCGCAGTGCCCGGCTGTTTCTGCCCTATGCGTGTTGTGGGGTGGCAGACGTGGCATCGCCAGGGGAAGTTTCAGCTGCTGAACGAAACAGGGGTGCTGTGTTTTTTAGCTGCTGAAAGGGAACTTGGCAATAAAGCTGGTTAATGCAGGTGAGCGACATAGCCCAGGCACAGCCAACAAACCACAAGCGGCACAGCCTTGGTTTTCCCTGTGCCGATTCATGCAGCGAGAGGCTCAGAGTGACCTGGGAGCTGCTCTTCCTGGTTTTCCAGCTTTTTGTTTCCTTTTCCAGCCACATAATATTCATCCTCCTGAAGCGTTGGCTGTTGCAGCTGCATCTGCCCGAGGCAGCACCAACGCAGCCCGGTTCCCCCAGGCCTGACAGTGACACACATGGGCACGGGCAGGGCTGTCCCCTAGGTCCTGTGAGAATGGGGACAGGCCTTTCCCTGAGCACACTGGGGAGCTGGAGCCAGGCTGTCCCCATCCCGGCCGCCAGACTGTCCCCACCCTGGGCGTAAGACTGTCCCCGTGAGGCACCAGGGTGTCCCCTCTGGGGCATGGAGCTGTCCCACTCAGTCTCATGCCCGCTCCCCTGCCCATTGGGAGAGCCTGGCCCCCTGCCAGCACCTTGGCATCACGGCACTCACCCATCGGGCACGGTGCTGATGGCCCAGCCCCAAACCTGGCACTACGTGGCTGTGGCGCTGCTTTGCAAATCACTTTGGGTGTGGAAATAACAGGGTGCAAAGGGCCGGGGAAATCCAAGGCTCATGGGGTGCTCCGGCTCCTGCCAAGGATGGGAGGCTGCGCAGCAGTTTGGGGAGCCAGGGGACACAGGGACATGGGGACAGCGGCTCTTCATGCACTTGTTTAAAGCAAGAGTGTCACCCTTTTAAACTGGTTTTTGGCTTGTGTGGCTCTGAGTCACGGGGTGGCTGCATGGCCTTTGTGCCTAGCTCCAGGGAGAATTGGGGTTTATTTCCAAACACTGGGAGTGAGGACAGATTCCAGAGGTGCTGTAATTGTTATAACATTGAATTACCTGGGAGCTGAACTGCCGGTACCACCTCGCCTTTGTACGTCTTGATTTACCCTGCAGGGCTTCCCACTGGGACAGCCTGAATATGGCAGCGGTGGGGCAGAGGTAGCAGGGACGGGGACAGGGACGTCTCCTGCCTTTGAAGTTGAGTTTAATTCTGTTAAAAGGAGATTAGTGAGCATCAGAGCTGGACTCTGCTTGGAGAGCCGGAGGACAGCAGCTCTGCTCCTGCTCCACGTGGTCACCCCGTGGGTGGGCACCCCCAGGCTGGGGTGGGGGTCCTGCCCATGTCCCGCACCGCAGGAGCACCCGGCCCTTTGTGGGTCCCCAGCATACACTGTGCTAGGGCGTGGGCTGGGGCAGCCACCCATGGAATGCCCAGCCAGCCCCTGCGGATACGCGATGGCCCTTGCTGCATGGAGCACCTTGACCCCCTCCCCAAAGCGGCCACATTCTGCCAAGCGCTGGGCAGAAATGGCCCCTCAGCTGGAGCGGGGGTTCCCACTAGATCCTGGACAGCCGCAGATGAGCCCTGTTCTGGGGTGGCTCCAGCCCCCTTGGGCCATACAGGACAATTTGGGGTGAAAACCAGCGTTCAGGTGTCCCCTGCCTGCTATTGAAATGGCCTCGCTGCCCGCAGTGGGTCTGTGATTCACCGAGCTGCCCCTCGCACCCCATGGCAGTGGGGCATCTTCCCCGCTCCAGCTTGTGTGCCCCCTCGCTCAGGGCCATTGTGTGGCCCCAGGTGCAGGGACACGGGCAGGTCTGGAGCAGCGGGTGCCGGCAGCCTGAGGGCTGCTGCGGGGCTCTGCAGGACCCACTGGCTCTGGCATGGGGGTGGCTGTGGCCACTGTTGCTCCTGCAGCCTCCGATGTTTGTGGGGTGAAAATCTTCCCAAAAGCAGTGAGGACACGTGCAGATCCTAGGTCTCGGATTCGGGACCACCGGTGTACTGGAGGGCTGCGCCCAAGTGGACTGGGACACCAAACCACCCGCATTTGCTCGTGCAGGGCCATGGGCCTCTCCTCAGGGGGATCCTGGGTCTGGCCTGGGGCCTGGGTGCGCAGCTGTGTTCCGGGGTGCCTGTCTCACACTCACTCTCTCCTGGCACAGGGCGGACATCCATTCCCAGCTTGGAGCAAGAAATCGATTTTCTGGCGGATGTGCTGGCCAGGCAAGAGGCTCCTCGCCCCCACCCACTGTGGGACGGCAAGCCCAGGAGTAAGTGCCTGCTCCCCCACTCCCACCACTTCCTGCAGCGGTGCCGGGGACACCACCCTCCCCACCTCCACCACCACTGCAGTCCAGAAGTACCCCGTGGAGGCATCCCCCATCCCTTCAAATGATGACGTGGTGCTCGGTGAGACCCTGGGGACAGGCAGCTCACGGGAAGGGGCTTCATGTCCTTGCTGGGGAAGCGTGGGCTGGTGGCACCATGCCACCGGGCTCATCCGCTGTCCCTCTATGTCCTGCTCCACCTCTGCAGGGCTGATCGTGGTGTGCACGGTGGCCGGGATCTCAGCGCTGATCGTGGCTGCAGTCTGCTGGTGCAGGTGATCCAGGGATGCTGGTGCCAGCCTCAGTGTCCTTGTGCCCACAGGAGCTTGTTCCTGCGCTTCCTGGGCGTGTGGGGGGTTGGAGGAGAGGCAATAGCTGTCCTTGCTGTCCTCCCACGGGTTCAGTGTCTGCTGGTCAGGGCTGGAGGACAGTGGTGGGACACCCTGGTGCCATGCACGGACTCCTGGGAGCGGGTGGCACCTGATTTGGGCATCACTGCGGTGCTGGGTGCTGACACCCCCAGCATGTCAGTGCCTCGTGCCCAGGCCCTGCGGGGTGGAGGTGGATGTGCCACCTGTAGCAGTGAACAGGGATGTGGGTGGGAGGGCTGAGCCCCCTGGGGTCGCTGGCTCCCGCGTGGAGTCATCCGGTGGCTCCTGCTGAGCACTCCCTTCTCCCCGGCAGGCTGCAGAAGGAGGTCAGGCTGGCGCAGAAAGCAGACTACTCGGCACAGCGAGCAGCCAGCCCCCCGCCTTATGACAAGATCTCGGTAAGGCGCCCACGTCCCTCCTTGCAGGATGCTTGGCGCTGGGGCCAGGCACGTGCTCTGCTTGAGGGGCTTCTGACAC